TTGTCTCCTTGTCCTTGTCTCCTTGTCCTTGTCTCCTTGTCCTTGGCCTTGTCCTTGGCCTTGTCTCCTTGTCCTTGTCCTTGTCTCCTTGTCTCCTTGTCTTTGTTCTTGTCCTTCTCCTTGTCTTTCTCCTTGTCCTTGTCCTTGTCCTTGTCCTTGTCCTTGTCCTTGTCCTTGTCCTTGTCCTTGTCCTTGTCCTTGTCCTTGTCCTTGTCCTTGTCCTTGTCCTTGTCCTTGTCCTTGTCCTTGTCCTTGTCCTTGTCCTTGTCCTTGTCCTTGTCCTTGTCCTTGTCCTTGTCCTTGTCCTTGTCCTTGTCCTTGTCCTTGTCCTTGTCCTTGTCCTTGTCCTTGTCCTTGTCCTTGTCCTTGTCCTTGTCCTTGTCCTTGTCCTTGTCCTTGTCCTTGTCCTTGTCCTTGTCCTTGTCCTTCTCCTTGTCCTTGTCCTTGTCCTTCTCCTTCTCCTTATTACCAACATCTTATCATCGTTGTACAATTTTTGTGGTTGCAAACTTTCAGTTCTCTGGCAACAAGGATTAAGATAGATCGCTAAATATTATGTCAATGTGTACAGTGTAACCATATATTTCCATATAACATATAGTGAAACAAATGTAATTAACTCAAGATTAAGAAGCGGTTGTAATTTATCAAAACGCAAATTATTAAAAATCAAAACGCAAATTATCGTCATGACGGCAAAAGATATATCTTTTATTTCCAATTTGCTGCGAAAATATTGGCAGATGTGCAAAAAATCCCAAGCTTTCCTAGAATTCATGTTTTACTAGCCTGTCACGTGACCAAAACGGTTTTTTTGCTTATAACTCTCCAGGGAAGCATTTTACCCTACGTCATGGGGGGTGATTCGGAATTAGCGTCCAAAAATACATCGATTCAGATCAATTTCATACCCAAAGGGCCTTTTCACAAGCATTTTCTTAAAATTTGGGCGAGCGATTTAGTATGAGCGCGCCGAGCTATGTCATTTATAATACCTTATAGTTATAATCGCTTATAGTCCAGTCATTTATGGAAATGAACCTGCAAATTTTCAGATACTCACGAAAATTTGCACAGACCTTCCCAAAGGTATGAATAAACGATTTTCGGTTGGAGACATTTTTTTACCATGGGGAAAACCCAGGAGGGCTACGCACATATTGACCCAATAACGTAACCGACCCTTTGCTTCTGAAGGTCGTAGAGACTTCAAAATAGGCTTAAACGAAGCCGCATATGCATGTTTATATAGAAGTTATTGATCAACACATGGCCTAAAATCCTTAATTTTCGAGAAATTCGCCAAAAACCATTTTGGGCGAGGCGCTGAGCCAATTTGCTAACTTTTGATATAATCGTGATAGAGTCCTCGGACAAAGTGCAAAAGAACCGCAATTGGCATATTTATATATGACTTATGAAGAAACATGTGCCTTAAAGTGCTTACTTTTTCAGTTATTGGCGAAAAACTGATTTTCGGTTCCAGAAATCATGCAAAAATATGGGTATCTGGTAAATTGAGCTATGAAGGCCATAGAGATTTTTGAATGAGTGCAAATTGTGCAGAATGGCCATGTTTATATACAACTTATGAAGCAATATGTACCCTAAAATGCTCACTTTTCGAGTTATTTGGGGGAAAACCAGAGAAAATTTTCACGCAATAGAGCAAAATTGGTTATATCAGCCATTTTTGCCTCCCGTTCTATGTTAATAACTCGAAAAGTCTCTACGACTTTCAGAAGCAAAGGGTCAGTTACATTATTGGATCAATATGGGCGTGGCCCTCCTGGGTTTTCCCCATGGTCAACAAATGTCTCCAACCGAAAATCGTTTATTCATACCTTCTGGAAGGTCTGTGCAAAGTTTCGTGAGTATCTGAAAATTTGCAGGTTCATTTCCGTAAATGTCCATTAATAACTGGACTATTATTATAATATCGCGTAATTTTGTTGTTAATTGTGTCCTCGTTCCAAATACGTAAAAAATTAAGCGCTCATAATCGTTTATAATCGCTTATATACCCCGCTTACATAATCGCTTATATACCCCAAATAAATCAAATCAAAACATATTTTGATCATAGTTTTAAAATGCGTCAAAAAGCGCTTTTCATCGTTTATAATCGCTTATAAGCGACAATTGAAGACAATAACATTTACGATACTTTATAATCACTTATAATCGCTTATAATATCTCGTACCTGACAATTTTTTCCTCGTTTCAAATACGTAAAAAAGCGCTTATAATCGTTTATAATCGCTTATAGACAGCAAATAAATAAGCGCTTATAAACGCTTTTCAGTAGGAAAATTTCAAGAAAAGCGGTTATAAGCGCTGATCATAGTGAAAATATCGCTTTTTAGCAGATTTCAAAAAATCGCTTATTGTCGCTTATAATCGTTTTATAATCGATTTAAACCGCTTTTTAACTTAAAATAAAAAAGCGGTTTTTTAACGATTAGTAGGCGCTTTTTAATTTGGAACTTTCCCTAGTGAATATAATCGCTTATAGTCGATTAAAAGCGTTTTAAAAACGGTCCAAAAAACGGTTTATAAGCGTTTTTTTGAAAAGCGCTTACTGAGCGATAATAATCGACAACCCTAAAATAAAAGCGTTTTTTTATCACTAATAATTTTAATTCGCGATTTATTATCGCTTTTAAAGCGCTAATAATCGCTTTTGCAAAAATATTTTATGGAAAAAGCGATTATAATCGTTTTTAACCGTTTATTAACGGGACCGTTTATAATCGCTTTATAATCGCCAAATAACGGTGGGTTTTATCAATAAGCGCTTTTTTAGCGTAAAAAAAGCGGTTATTACCGCTGATCACAAAAAATTAGTTATGGAAACTTGCCGAAAACTGTCCGCGGTAGATTAGCAATGCCAATAGCATGACATTTGCCATCAGTATTATTCTAATTCTCAAGAATAGTCCACTTATTTCAATGGCTTTGTTTGTTATAGTGCACCGATTTAGAATTGGTGGTTTTTAAGATTCTCAGTAAGGTCAGGTCGGCCAATAAAAATACTCATTAACATCAAATCAATCATTACCGGACCACTTTTATTCGATTTCGATTCTACCGTCAAAAATACGTAAGGTAAAATGAAATATGTTTAGAGTTCATGGCGTATCCAGTATAAAAACTATAAAAACCACAAGTATAAAAACCATAAGGCCTATCCAACTGCATATCCAACATATCACAATACAAGGCCATTTAACTGCAAATTCTAAATCGGTTAACTACAGTGCAATACTTTTGCTTGTCACTTGAGCATCCTCTGGAAAACTATATGGAATAAATTTTAATATTTATTAAATACTTTTCAAATTTTACAGAGTACAGCAATAGATGAATATAAAATAGAATCGTTCAAAATATCGCCCCCATCTGTAAAATATGATGGGCACCCAAACACGGTAAACACATAGTGAACTATGTCCGCAGTAACTTGGACCCATTACATCGAATTAATCTAAATCCAAAAATTTATGAAAAACTATTTAATAACAAACAAATCCATGGTGAATAACTGTGGATATATAGTCAAAATTGGTATTTCAATACGTCAAATTCCAGATACATTAGATACAGGTCTGATATGGTCATTGATTAATAGATAAAGTCAAAATTATCTTACCTTGAAGTAGGTTTCAGATTCATTGTATTTGTTCGTGCTACCTTTTATTACGTTAGTTTCACCCGAAAGCACTAAAACATTGGTTACCTCATCCTCCAAAACCTCTGCAACAGCAAACCCTAGAAAACAGTAGTTTTACTTTTTCTTTTTTCTTTTTTTTTCTTTTTTTTTACATTTTTGAATGCTGATAAACTTACTCTGTAACGATTCACCCGAGAAGCCGCGCAGCTTATAACAAATTTGATTCCATTCAATTGAATCAAGTATGATAACCATAATTAGTTTTATCTTGTTCAGCGTTCGTGAAAACATAAGGTCACATGAGCATGAGAATTCATGCTCCACCGGTAGTCCCTACACGTTTGAAATAGAAACCTGGGCCTAGGAAGACATTTTACCGATAATATAAGCATAAGCAATAAGGTATGATAAGGCATGGTAAGGTATGATAAGGTATGACAAGTATGAAAAGGTATGAAAAGGTATCTGATCTAAAGTTCGTGCTAGTTATATATATGAAATATATTTTTGTCTGCATTAATTGATACTAAATAAAATTTTTGTTTTCTTGAAATTGTTGTTTTCTTGACAAGGTATGACAAGGTATGATAAGGTATGATAAGGTATGATAAGGTATGATAAGGTATGATAAGGTATGATAAGGTATGATAAGGTATGATAAGGTATGATAAGGTATGATAAGGTATGATAAGGTATGATAAGGTATGATAAGGTATGATAAGGTATGATAAGGTATGATAAGGTATGATAAGGTATGATAAGGTATGATAAGGTATAATAAAGCCGTACTTCAACTACAAGGCTGTATACAAGGCCGCATACATTATACAACGTTATAACAATAAATCGTGCAAAAAACGATTAAAAGATGTACCTCACTGGACTTCATTTGAACGGACATTAATTGGACGCTAGGGGCCAAGGTGTTCATTTTAATTTCCGTTGAAATAAAGCCTGCCCATCACGGTTCGTCCAAATAAAAGTCCGTTAAAAATGTTCCACTTCCACTACGAACTTATTGTCCAGGATATAACTACTTTTTAATTTCGATCATTTCAAATTTCTACCATCGAACTAAATTTAACACGTTCAGCTTTGCCACTTATTGCTTTTCTTGGTCAATATTATTTGTCTACTTGAACTCAACCTAGAAATTTTGGATTTTACGGGTTTGGATGCCTTCGAGTGTTCATTTTAGTGACCGGTCAAAATTGTGTCCGTTCACGCAATGTCTGGTCATATAAAATCACCGTGTTATGACAATAAACGAAGGTAAATGAAATGTTACATCGGCCCTGGCCTTATCAAGCATATGATAGACTTAAACTAACCAACAGAGTTGAGAGATTTCAAATCTGCTTTACTCTCACTTTTCTTCACAAGAGCACGAGTGAGACTCACAGCAGATTGTCTGAACTGGTCACTAATTGTATCGTTCTCCCTTAATTCTCCGAGCTCGGTTTTAGTTTGTACATTGTCCATCGTGGCAATCACATTATTAAGGGTGTCGTCTGTAATTATCGATAAGTTTACGAGATCATCAATAATTTGGACAGTTTTCTTAACGTCAAGGGAACTCATTTGAGTTCCTTGATTAGCTGTTATGGTCCTGATGTCATATGATATAGAGTCCGCTGTTATTTTCGTCACATCATTCTGCAATATTTGATATATTTGCAACAATTTGATTTATTGTATCGGCATTGCAGAAAGAAAAAGTGCTCTTCTATGGTACAGGGTGCACCATAGAAAATGTGACTTTTTTGAGAAATGATACAAAATATTACGAAGGACAGTGCTGTACACCGCCGGCGGCGGCGTAATTGGTGTGAGGTCACGTGATTCCGCAGATTCAATTGTCCTCTAGAATAATGCCATGCGGAGAGCAATTTTTAACAATCTTGAATTTTGGCCTGAAACGGCGCATTCGGCGTATAAACAGGTTCACGCCGTGTGCGCCGTTTGAAAACGGCGGCGGCGGCGCGTGGCCGGAAAATCGATGGCGGCGTTCGGCGTTCGGCGGCGGCGTTCAGCGGCAGCGTTCAGCCTTGATGAAGGAGAAGTTGCTGAAAACTGAAAACTCTTCATCACATTGTGTCAATATGTTACGAATTTATGCATACCAAGTTTCAAGTCCCAATCAATTTTTGATTTCTCACAAATAGCTATTTTGTTATGGTGCTACCTCAGGAACTTAAGCTTCTTGTAATTAAGGGGTCTCAAGAAAAATATATTCGAAATCAACATTTTAGTTGTTTTTGATAGAAAATATAATATGTATATGGTTCTCTTTACATCTAATATATGGTTCCTCTGCTACCTTACCTCAGATATTGCGTCAATTTTAGATGTAACTGCTGAAGGGCAAGAGGAAAAGTCTGTGTCACCAAAGCCTTGCTTCATTACAGTTGAATCTTTGATTGGGCTGCTTCTTGGACAGAACTTCTGAGCATAGAACATTTCCTGAAATCATTATTATTTGTCAGCGACTCGACACAAAGTCCGATGAACGATGGCATGGCATGGAATATAGCTGCTACTAACCAGTTTTACTGTGAACTTCAGGTAGCAATAATTGTACCTGTTAGATATGAATTATGGATTTGTCAGGTACAAAAAAAGTAATACTAAGCTACTGAAACCCAGCGAAAATTCTGTGAAATACAGGACAGAACTAAAACGAAAAATCAACTAGCTCACAAATCACATCAATGAGCGACTAAAACAGCTCTGGCAAACTAGCTTGCTGATAGCATTAATTCCACTGACGATACAATGAAGATGTTTGAAGCTTCCATTAAAGAAGCAGCACCAATTTCTGTATACAACTCACAGGAACATCTAGTTGCTAGTGATACGAGCAAAAAGCTACTATTATCAGGGAGTGGTTTCTTCAACACTGCAAGTGCACAAACTCTGACCCTCCTTTCCTTTTAGAATCCTTCTCTGGGCCTGTTTTACCATTGAATACACAATTTTCCAAATCCACTCAATCTTGCAAATTGTCTTAATGAGATTGAGAAGTAGCAAATAAAACATCTCTTAATTGAATTAATCAAATAGTATAAATTCGATCTCATGATTAACTTACGTCGTGGACGCAGGGTTGTACTGCGTAAGTATTTGGGTTAGTGCTCGGCCATGTATAATCACCGTACACTACGTTCACTTCGTCTTGTGATGGGCAGCCACCTGTTGATACTAGATTATATAATAAATAACAAGACAATTAAAATGAGATGTAATTTTTGAACCAGAAATTAATGTTCACCATCAAACTGTCAGCAGTGTGTGCTCAACAGTTGTATTATTAGTGATCCAACGAACACTCAAAAGTTTTCCACAAACTCCAAAGATGATGCAGTTTTACACTTGAAATTTCAATGATGAGAACACATTTGGGTAGTCGTACTCGTATAAAACGATTTTTATTAAACGTGATAAAGGGACAAAAATCTGTCACAATGTTTTGGGACACAACTGTGGAGGACATCGTTGCTTCGCGCCACGCACATTGTCATGTTTGCTTCGTTTTAAAGAGCAAAGATCTGAAAGGGCGGTTGGCAACGTCAATCAAGGCTAGAATTTTTAGCATCGCGTTCAACACAGGTCCCTAAGTTCGTAGCAAAAGAGAAAACGTTTGCGGTGCGAAGTTACAAAATCAGAAAACAAGTTCGATACAAAAGGAAAAGCTTTTTTTGCTTACCACATTTGTTACTGTTAGCTAGATCACAGTTATCTGAAAGAAAATGTATTTTTATTTAAAACGCTATGTCTCAGGGCCGTGCCCACAATAAAATAATTCTCAATGATAAATTTATTTAACCATCAAATGAAATTTGTATACGATCTGGTTGTTACTATCGATATCGGATTCAAACTTGTAAGCAACAACATCCAATGGTTGCAAGGTGCAGACCTTATCAAGACCGATCCATTCCCAAAAATGTAAAACTCCACAATATGAATTAACTACCAAGAAACCAATTGATCTAGTTGAATTGGGTTAAAGGTACATAATGAAAGGAAAATATTTAAGACGTGGTTGTCACTCACTGTTAAACAACAACACCCAATGGATGCAGGTTGCAGACCCTATAAACACCGGTCCATATCGGAAAATTAAGAGACCCACTAAGGCCAAAAATGAATCAAATTGTGGTGGTTGAAGTTGAAAGAAATGTGTTGAAGGTATGAGATGAGGGATGAAACATACCTGGAACCTCCACACATTCAATGTAATCGCCCCATCCTGCGGCAAGGCACAAGACAGAGGTAGTGGTAGCGTTTCCTAGCAGTTCAGTTACACTGTCAACTATGTTAACAACAAGGTCACCCTGGAGCGTGGGAACTTTTTATTGTCAAACAACCTAAAACTAAATATATGTACACGAACACCGGAGTTTGTGATATATTGTCTATCAAATTGTCTGTACTGAAGTATCGAAGAGAAAGGCTGTGGAAGGATAAAATTTAATATAAATTTCGGGATATCAAGTATTCTGAAGAGGTGAATCAAGTCTTACCGGACAGGTGAGCGTGAAAGGCACGTTACTATCTGGAGACAAAAAGTCTGAAACGACTTGTTCGCTATCTTCCAAACTCACGGTTACTCCCGCGTCCGTCAAAGTAGATTTACTACAGGCATCTGGAGAGGGAGGTTTAAAGGTTACAAAATAATAAAATGGAAGGAAATAATAATAAAATGGACATAATGAGTTGGAGTTTCGGTTTCAAACAGAAGGGTGTAAGCAGTTATTTAACAAGGTAGGGAAGAATTAAAACGTTGCCAAGGAGAACTAAAAATCAAAAAGTTATGCGGTGGCAGAGAAGGTGGCTAAGTACTGTAGTGTGAGTAAAATCTCTATAATATGGAAATATTAAAGTGATGATCAACAATCAAAAAAACTTACAAGTTGTAACTTCAACTTCAACAGGATCACTTGTCAGTACTGTTTCCGTTTCACCAACATTTCCCTCGGAGGTCATTGAAATTTTGTAGGCAACATTTGATTCTAGACCTGTAAATTTATGACTAACTGGTGTAACATCACGCTTTCTTCGTGAAGGTAGGTTATCATCCCCACTTTCGCTGATGGTATTAGCTGGTACAACTGGCTCAGGGTAAACATACTCCATCACAACTGTCCATATTTCGGCAACCTTTTTGGATACCTTTAAGCGGTAAGTGAAACCTTCTTCTGGCACGAATTCTACTGTAGCAGTATTGTCAGTCAACACTATTTTTGAGGAATCTATTGGTGTTGGGAGTGTTGGTCCTGAGAAAAATTGTTCGTTTAATTTCGTGTCAAAAGACTTATTTTATCTTTTTATGGTGATTTTGGTGCCAATTGCTCCAGTCCCGATATCACAAATGGCAAAACTTTTTTTTCCTAGTAGTGTCATAATACAAGATACAACAAGAATTGTGCTACATAACACCATTTATCCTCACCTTGAGTGAAAGAGTGTGTGACTGTCTCGGAGGGTGTATCATCATCAGTCAGAACCGTGACAGTGAAAGTGTACTCTGTGAGTGGAGTAAGATCATCGTACGATATAGTAACTTCCTTAGCGGCACCAAAATCTTTTTCTTCAATAACTTCGGCCTTGCTACTCAGAGTATACTGAAATTGTTATGATTGTCCTAATCTACGTGAATAGCCAGGCTTGAGTTTGATGCAGACAAGATTGTGGTGACAGTTCAACAAAGTTGGTTAAGGGGGCAGAGGGGGTCTTCATAATAAATACGAATCAAGACTTACCTTGACTTTGGTGTTGCCTCCTGGACTGGTATCGGCTAACTTGATTGTCACATCGCGGGCGGTTGAGGAAACTTCAACGTCCGTGATGGTCGCAGAAGCGTGACCTAAAAACAGTTCCTCAGTTTAACCAAAAATTGACATTAACTCCAAACATGTTCCGACATATCGAATAAATATTTTGCATACATAATGACATGTACGCAAGCTTATGAGACTATTACTCTATTTAAAAGTGTTCAACAAAAGTATTTTTAAAATGTAGAATTAAAAAATATATAATATACACTATACAGTGCGAATAAGTACACATTTTTTATTAACCTCAAAACATTGTACTCCTATTTAAAACTTTGAAAAACATAAAATTACCAGTGTTGAATTCTTTGGTCATATCTCCGCCGGGTCCTTTGTCAGTGCTGGAAGATATCACAACAACATAGCTCTTGAGAGGCTCTAGGACACTGCTCCAATCGTATTCGGTCTGGCTTACAAGATCGGCTATATCTAAAACAACGTTTTATTAAGTTGGGTACGATAGAGTTATCTTTGTAATTGTATGGTGCAAACTGTTGGGAACAGTCCACGTTACAATCGCAATTCTTCTATATAAACTGGAAGCCAGTTCTAGAAACGAATATTAGGTTATTTTTTAGGTTATTTTAGTTAACTCTGGAGATAAGTTCCTTAAATCATAATTTTAATGATGACAAATATCAACAACAGCTCAGATGTATAGCTGTTTAGTAACGTTTATTTCTCAAACATGGAGATTATGATTCACAGTTACACAAATTAACTTACTCTTATCATCGTAAGCTTGTTTCTCTTCACCATCCTTCTCACTTATCTTCATTGCATACACTGGTTCGTATGAGCCGATTGCGGTAATTTCTCCAATATCAGCAGGCAAAGTGTCTTTGAAAATCATAGTTACAGTTTTAGCGCCGACAACACTAATCGTGACGTCACCTGAAGAAATGACAAAAATTAGGAAGTTACGAATCAAATACATGTACAGTAAATAATAGCACTAGACGGCAACACTGTTAATAATAGCGGCTGTTAACTAGTCATACAGCACATCGTGAGTTTTATCGAAATATATGATATGTGAGTACATATTATATAGCAAATACCTGCGTCCAAGGGCGGAGGTCCAACATAAAATCCGGTAACGTCATTTTTAGTCAGATAAACTATATCTTGGCTTGGATATATGATCTGATAGACATGCAGTGAGAAACCATTTTTTAATTTGGCTTTCCAATCAGCATCAGAAGTAGATAGAGTGTACGGGCAATCGTAAGTATCGGAGTCTGCGTTGATAGTAGTAATGGTGCAAATTATATCACCAGTACTGTCCGCGACTTGCACTGCGAATATCTTCCAATCATCAAATCTGAATTGGTTATAAAGTTAAAATTCGGTTGAGGGAAGCGAAGAAACTTTTTCCAAACCTTTTGAAGATTACAAAATGAAGCAATGAACATGACCCATGAATACGGATGTGTTGTTTTGCATGTAACAATGATACACGGTGTTTTGAAACAGCTGATTCCGTGATTCGTACCAGATTGGGCGCTGTCTCACAACAAAATACTTCGGGTCCCCAGTCGTAGTTAAGTCTGTAGTCAAGCACAGATTTTATTTTGTTGAAACTGATGGTATCTAAAAAAGGTATCCAATAGACTTACGTATCTCTGTCTGAAGGCAATACCACAGAAGCTGTAAAGGTGTACGATCCGGTTGACGCTGTTGGTGCACCCAACTTTGGGACAGCTGAAGTAATTTAATTTGTTACTGACGCAGAGATTATACAAGGCCGTTCACAAAAAAACTTTAGACTTGATAATGGCCCATGGTAAAACTATCCATAAAAATGGTATCTTAGTCCCCGGATCTTGGCTAGTCGGAGAGCTGGAACGAAGAAATCGGAGACAGTGCAGTACGTACTTTTCAATTTGAAGAAATTATCAGGAAAAAAGCAGAGAAAAATAAACACGTCGTGACTGTACACAGTTAGGTTTTGGAAATGAGACATGTGTTGCGTGCCTCAGAACATTTTGTATTGCTATGAAAATGGCAGGGATTATTTTTTTGGCGAGAAAAATTCTTCAATTCTGTTCAATTTAGTTTAACTTTCGTTTAATTTTCTCTTTGGAAGCATAAATATCTAAATTCAGTTATCCGTAATGAGACATGTTTTGAAAAAGTTGGGACCGGAACTGGACATCATTAGTCTCTGTGTCCCACTTGTTTTAAATTCGTACACTTACCAAGGCACCAATCTTTGCCAGCAATATGTGTTCCTGCCTCCTTCAATTCTACTTTTGTATTATCGTTAGGATCTTTCTTACACTCAGCATAAGACCCAATTGCTCTTTTGGTAACATCGAAAGCCATGACATAGTCGTCACTAGAACAAGTAATTTCCACCTGTTCACCCAAGGCAACTTTGGTTCCGGTCTGACTTCCTGCGGCGCTAACGATGGTGTTGGCGTTAGGGTTGGGAATCTCAGTTACCTGAAAAGAGGGAGAATTACTTTTCAAAATGTTTTGTCTTAAATCCATCTCCAAGATATTATTTTCACCTAACAACTATCACGCTGATACATTTAAGAATTGCATAGTGCATGTAACCATATCGGTTCAAAGTTTGTCGGTAAAACTTGATTTAGTGCAAATCAGACTTGACAGACTCGAAATCTTTTACCAAATTTGAAATAGAATTAATGTTAATGAGATGGCTATTTTAAAAGTCACTTGCAACGTAACCATGGTAACAATGGTAACAGCGGTTCTCCTCTGTACCAAAGGTAAACCTAAATAGTAAAATTGTGTTACAATCAACACTGTCACTACTAAAACACTTACCGAACACGAAGGGTAGCATTTCTTTAAAACTATATCATCTCCGTTTGTTCCACATTCAGCCTCAAATATGTTCCCTGTAGTTCCTTCCACTGTCATCGTTTGATCTTTACATTGGAATTGCACCTGGTAATTATCTCGTCACATGAGAGAGTACAACTAGAAAAGATCACTTTGAATAAATCATCGACAATTGCACAATGTTTAATGTTTATACATTGAATCATGCACGCGTAAAAATCAAAATGAGCAAATCCTTATAAAAATAATGTACGATAAGAGCGTCCCTTTGTTATTTCTCAAGATTATTTCATGGATGTAAATTTAGAATGTGAACTTAGTCTTTTCACTAATGTCGAAAGGTAAATAACCAAAGCTTTTACAATTCGAGTTCAGGCAACTTATAACCGTGATCAATAGTGAATAGAGTGCTCGGCCTTGTTCAAGAAAACCAGCCTTCGGTTTGTCAAGGCCCACAGTACAATTTTGAGTTATTACCTTCTTTGACATAGGTTTAAAATCCTACCATTCTACCCTCCTACCGGCCTCTTGGTCAAAATGAACGGTTATACGATTTAACTTACTTTCTCTCCCGGATTAATCAACATGCGATTGTATATAGTCCGTGGGTTGCCAATCAGGAATGTTGCAACTAAAGAATAGTCCAATCCGATAAGAGAGCAAGGTTCTGAAAGATAAAAGTAACATGCGACATGCAGCTAAACGTGCAGAGATATTTTTTCAACAGCGAAGCTTGCCTTTGTGTTGGGAGGTATGGAAGTGGCTTCGGGTGCTAATGCGGCAAAAGTAGTATCGCCACCATTGTCTTTGACTTTAAGGAAGTCGAAGAACTGGTCGAGTTCATTTTTGGTTGGTAATTTGCACATGTCTGAAAAAAATATTAGATAGTTCATCATCTATTTAGGAATCCTAAAACTTTGTTTAAAAGTACTGAATCTTTCCCACTACCCAGGATGTACGTTTGCCGACATACATCTATGCATGCATTTTTCGTCAATATGACCCGTACAACTATATAATAGACAGTATGTCTATACACAATACACATTTATAACAACCTTTAATCCAGACACGAACTCAAAAATCATATTTTAATGGGTGGGAGATGCATACCTCGAAACATGACACATTTTAATAACCATATACATCCCCCGGCGATCTCTGACATCGTATAATCTATATATAAATTTACAACAGCGCCCAGCGGACAAATTATGTTGGACTAAATAGTCCGACGACAATCGTTACCTTGGTTACGACTCATAACCATGGTCACTGGTCAGGTGTCACCTTTATAGTGCTATATTGCTATGAGGTTTAAATGTGAAATTATTAGAAATATTTTAAATTTTATTTTAGTAGACGTGTTTTATTTGCTTCTTAAACAGCAAACATGCTCTTTAACTTTGAAACTATCTGCAATCTTATTATTATAGTCTGTTTTACTTTTCCGAATTTTTCTTGATTCCCATTTTAAGACTGTTTTAAGGCCGTTATATTTCTCACTCCTATCCATATTTTTCGTCCTTATACTCTAATCATAATCTGCCTAACATTATGTTCAAAAATCAAAACAAAATGCACATGACTTACTGTAACACTTTATGAGGTCTTTGAATTGAGCATTTTCAAAGTCGTATTTCGATGCATCACAAAAGAATTTGGTGTTTGCTTCAACGTTCTCGGTAAACAGAAACACTTTGTCGTGTTTGCAACCAATAATGAGTAGTGGTGTGTTGAGAGCAACCTCCACTACATTTAAGGCAGCCCGAAACCCGCTAGCGATCTTAGCGTATTCGACGTTATATTCTGTCTTGATGATTGACTGCGAAAATGAGGTTTGAAAAAGTTGGGTTACGGCTATAAACCGATCGGATAGTTCAATCTTTACTCAATCCCAAAAATGGGATAGAGTGGACCGATCAGCCGAGGTCCAAGGATCGACCGGAACCACTTTTTACGGAACCCGTAAAAGGAATGATTTAAAATTAACTTAAACTAGTGTTCCCAAATGGCACCTAGGATAACACCGCGGTCGCTCGCCTGACACAGGAACAAATAAAAGACGATGGTACAATCGCAGAGAAGTAAATGTGGTGCATGTAATGTTCATGAATAGAGGAGTTGAAAGGCTTAAACAGTGACTATCAAAATAAAATCGTCTGATTAAAAAATTATCAGAAACGTATTAACTTACAATATCACAAGGAGCGTGGCACGATTGAACGACAATTGCACTTGGCGATGCTCCATCGGCCACCTCTTCACATTCGATTTCATCCTCTTGCCCATACGGTAAATGATAATCGCCATCTTGGCACTCAAGTTCATATTCTTCGTCTTGAGGGACCGACAATATTGTTGCAATTTCATTGTCAAATTTGAACAATATTCCATGATCTGCAAGTACCGTCAGCGGGCAGTCCTCTGAAAGAAATAAAAGTTATTGGTCTATATTCTATAATACTGGTAATAGTCTTTAAATTTATGGGTTTATGCATTTGAAAATATCGTAAGCACGGAGTAGTCTAAAAACAATCTTTTTAATCGGAACGAAGAATTACTCTTTTATCTAAGAGCAAATTTGGAAAATGCAAACAGACTCAGAGTAATATTGTCGAAAAAATCGTACTCAGGTGTGATATTCTTTCTGATAGCAATGCACGATTTAACCAGCCTGATTCTCTGTAGGTTGAAAAGATACAAGATCAATTATCCGTTTGTGGAAATTGGATGTTATTTGAGCCGATATGGAAGGTTAGGGTAACAATGATGACTAAACATTTTTTGTTGATATGAAATATTTGTCAAAGCACGAAAAATAGTATGTCCGAATAGTACATAATCAACGGGTCTTGAAGCTTATCCGTTAGAATAAGTCCCCGTTATGTCATCAGAAGTGACAATCTCTTCTCCTTTCTTTGAGAAAATTCCCACTCTATTTCGCATTTTGCAGTTTTTCATTATGACAAAAGCGGAAGTCCTAATTTCAGGAGTAATGCAAACTTCTTCAATTCGATTGGGCGACATCTGTCCGACAGCGACATCTGTCCGAAAGCTGAATTAGGGATTTCGGACAGATGTCGCAGTCGGACAGGAGTCGTTTTTGGCGACATCTGTCCGAATTTCGGATCATATTGTAATTTCGGTTCACATTCGTATTTCACAAGCTCACGGGTAATCTCGTGACGTTCTAAAGCTGATGTGATCCCTTAAGATCTGATCCATCGATACGTGATTGACTAGTTGAGAACATGATCGTGCTAGCCGTACCCAGAAAAGCAGCTAACAGACACCCTTCTAACCCGAGAGATCTGGAAACGCTCTCCATTCCTGCAAACTACATCCTCTCTACCGACAACGAACCAATGATGCTCTGGGACTCTGGATGGGACGAACAGACTATAACAGCAACCCTATGGATTTCCTTAAAGCTATCGGAAATTTGACTATGCTTTAGATTTGATTCTGTGATATTGTATTATATTGAATTAATTTATATCATTTAAATAACATTGAAACTATTGTCTAATTTATCGACATCAAATGAAAATAAACTGTGGTAGTAAACTATGGCTCAGATCATATCTCAAATTGGACATGTTACGTATACAATTTAGCAAGTAACAGTTTAGATCATGTTTCTAATTGGAAATGTGTCGTATTGAAATCAGGTCACAATTTCGGACAGATGTCGTTTTTTTCTGGTACCCTGATTCGGACAGATGTCGCTGTCGGACAGATGTCGCTGTCGGACAGGAGTCGTGTTACCTTCAATTCCACCTCCACTACCCATTAAATCTTACCATCATTTTAAAGGCAATGGATAGAAATATTTAAAGTAACGTACCTCTACACTTCTTGATGTCGTAAATCCCTGATAAGGTTGCACTGGTAGTGCCACTACTATAAATGCAATCCAGCTCTTGTGTGTTTCTGAACTCGGATTTGACTTTGTCTTCAAATGAAGTTCCAGTGTCACATTGGTAGTTGATTTTTTGACCTACCAATGCCGTTGCAGTTAAAAAGTATGCCTTTGCGTCGGCTTCCAGTGTCACTTCAGATGTGGCACATTCTGAAAACAATAGAAATATAAAAAATTAGAATAAGGTCAAGATAAAATTTACAGCTAACAGCTGGCTATTTATTTGCGTTAAGTGGAAGGTATAGACTATTTAAGGCGAGCTCACATATACTTGTAGACATATGTTCAACGATTTATCCTAACTAGCAGGAACCCGTTAAATATAACGGTGTCAAGACTCAAGATACTGAAATAATTATTACCTATTTAATTGGCGTTTTTGACACCACTTGGGGGTCCAAATTTTCGGCTCTAAAATCATTATTCCTCGGCCAATTTTTTATTTTTTCATGCTGATTTGGAGGATATTAAAGCATTTGACCCAGCCAAAAAAGTTTCAGTTGTATATCTTTTACGGTTTTTGCAGAAAGTTGCGTTAAAGTCGATGCCGTGGTGTCAGTAAAATGGCACAGATATATATATATCGTCTCGCTTTATATATAGTAAGATTTCATCAAGATAGCTTCGTCAGGACACGATGAACTAACACCTGGTTTAGTCTCTTAGTGGTAAAATGTTAGGGAAGCTATCCATAACCATAACCACAGCCCTAACCCTAGCCCTAAACAATCGAATTCGTGTTTTACTACTACTAGCCTGTCACGTGAAGAAAACAGTTATTTGCCCATAACTCTCCAGGGTATCATTTTTATCCTACGTCATGAGGCCGAGGATGATTCGGAATCAGTGTCCAAAAATACACCGAATTAGATAATGTTTATACCTTAAGAGCCTTTTCACAAGACTTTTCTTAAAATTTGGGTGAGCAATTTAGTGGGAGCGAGAATATTTACCATTCCAACGATAAACACACCGTAGCACTATATGGTATGATACTTAACCTTTCATCACCAGGATATATAACCAGTGTACCGTAGTGTGTTTTGTCGAAGCTGTGTTGCAAAACGTCGACATTTTAATCGTCATTACATTGACAGTAGTCAAATCATACTGTCAACTTTTCGCTGTTTCCAAAACCTTTCAGGAAAAAAGAAAGTCGTAGAAGGCAATAACTTAATAAGAACTTACGATAACACTTTTTGTCACTGTAATTTGTTACAGCGCCACTACATTTAATAGCATCAAATGCGGTGGTACCATCATCACGCCCATACCCTGGTTTGCATTCCAACTGAAAAGAAATTCAAATCATTAATTTGCATTTAATCAAATGTTAAATCTTATCCCAATTCCAGACCTTAATTCGAGGTGTCTATCTGCAGATGTAGGGGTGACGGGGGTCTCTCTGCAGATGGCACCCCTATCAGGCGGGTACAGTTTCATCCAATGTTTATGTTGGACTGTCCAGTTGAAAGATTCTATTTCACTAATTTAACTAATAAAATGACCATTCATAAATTATGTGATAAATTAAAACTCACGTTTATTTCTGTACCAGCGGGATAGAACGTCTCTGTTTCAAAATCGAGATCCATCACCACGGTATCGTCAATGGTTGGTTTTGTACACGCGGCTGAAAAATTGCGTTCGTTCAACATTACAGAATGAGAAACCACCAATCGTTTGGACACATGCACATTTGAAACTCGAATTAATATAAAATTACACGTGATGCCCATATTAGGCGATGAAATGGTTAGGCACGGCGGTTGGATTTTTCAGATAACTCACCTTCACATTTTACGAGGTTATACATAGCCATGATATCAGTGGTTTGAGCAACGTCCTGTATACAATTAAAGCTGACACTCGTGAAATCCCCAAAATCTGAAAAGTCCGTAAGGCTGTCGTCTTTTCTTAACATATACCTGGAACAATTTACAGCTATTTAATCGAATAATATAAATTGTGATTTTCTCATTTTATCCGAAACCCACAGTAGCTTTATTTAATTGTTTTAACTAGCAAGATCCCGTTTAGATCTAAAGTCAAGAGACAACAGTATTTATAAGTTTACGATTATAAAACCACTTGGGGTCAAAATGTGGGGACTTCTTATTACTTGGTCAATTTTTTAGTTCTTCGTACTGTTCAAAAGGCCATAAAAGCATTCGACCCAGTCAAAAAAGTTCAATTTTCAATTGAGCCGCTAAGGTCATCCCTCTTTTATATCTATGTTATCTAAGTTATCAAGTAAGTATGTTATCAATCATGTCACATGTGATATGGTGAGTGCTGAAATCTGCCATTTGTTGGCTGTAAATCAGATTTTCACCATTTTTGTGTCAAACCAAAAATAAGTAAACCAGAGATACAACTGTCGACAGACTTATTTGAGCGTAATATTTACTTACATTGTATTTGGATTCGAGTCTTGTTTACATTTAAACGTAACTGCCTGCCCCAAGTATATTCTGTCGTAAGAGTCGTAGTTACCAGGAACTATTGCCACTTCATCTATTATCGTTTGGGTAAAAGGGTTGTCTGCAAGATCCTTTGCACTGTTGCCCTCCAGTTTGCAGCCTGAAGGTTGCAATTTAAGTAACATATAAAAAGGAGTCTTAATAAAGATTCTTGTACTATACAAAATATGTACTAGACAAATGGATTAAAATCCCATAACACACAACCCTTTGCTCGATAAATCACAATTAAGGTGTGAAGTTGGCAAGCACTTACTTGATGTTTGAGCTGCAACACATCTGCTACTGTCACTGACCCAACAACAATGTATAAGGTTGCACTTCCCTACAAAAAATCTAAGACAGCTAGCGCGCTCTAGCTGTCTTAGGAGGCAATTTCTAAGACAGCTAGAAATGAGGGTTGATGCGCGCTAGCTGTCGTAGGTAGCTGTCTTAAAAAACTGAGCTAGCTACGACAGCTAGCAATGACAGTTTAACCCCCATTATAATGAGGGTTTATAGATTTTGCGTCGCGCAAATAATGCCACGTAAATTGTTGTCATTATCACGTTTATTTATAAAATACAGGTTCGGTTTCCGCGCGCAGAGAATTAATCCGAAATTTTGGCCTAGTTTTCGAAAAAAATTTGTCAATTTTTAAGGCCCGATATCCTTTATTTTGTTTATAAACTGAGTTGAATTTGCTTTGGTATGATAGGTGGCATATGAACTAACCTTTCCAGCCAGTTTTGAATGATTCTAGGTCTCTTTGCCTAACTGGACTAGCGCCTAAATCCATGAATTAGGCCATAAGACCAGTTAGTTCAGGCGACCGTTTGGGGTCTAATACTACTTTAAATTGAAGTTTAACAGACCAACAGTCCACCTTTAGTCGCTTGGCCTAACTGGACTGACGGGCTACAGTGTGATGAGACCCGTACGTGCACCGTTTTACTCACCATGAGCTGACAAAGCATGCTATATGAGCCCGATGACGTGCTTCGACGAGTAAGTGGCCATGCTGACGTGATCCATGTCTATATCTCTCATCAATAAAGAGCTCGTTAGCTCACACATACACAAGGGAATCAGCTGTTTTCAGGGGGATCACCAATATTTCTGGACGCTGCGCTGGATCCAAAAGGACCCCTTTCCTCAACGGCTATATACTTATATAATATGTACTTGACTAATTAATTTGGTCCATGTCATCGAGCTAGGATATAGCATGCCCTGTCAGCTCATGTTAAGAGCAATACAGTGCACTTACGGGTCACATCACTCATGCAGTTAGGCCAGGTGACCTCAAGTAGACTATCGGCCTAAAATCTGCCCTAAGTTAGGAATAGGCCATCCGTCCGTTTGTTCAGTATACTATTACTTGTTAGGCCATTAGTCAAGTTAGGCCAAGCGTCCAGTTAAGCCAACAGACCCGGTACCCTCTCTACCATGCCAGATTGATTACAAGTCAGCCCTGGCATACCTATTGCCTCAAATTTCTGTCCCAAATTTGTCTCAATGTGCCAAAATCCGGGATTCATGAGTGCGGCAAAAATTGCGACAGAAAGTGGCCGCCAGTCACCGTTGAAATAGTAACACGGTTCAAATACCTGACTGCATGAATTATACTTCTTTTTGTAAATCAGATACAAGCCACTTTCCATCTATTCATTACTTCCGATACAGTTACCCAAATGATGGAATACAAATTAAAATAACAATCAAATTATATGAAATAATATGAGGGCATTTAAGTTTCAACCAATCCGACAACCAACTATGCTGTCATAATCAGTTTCTGTATTATATGCCATGATTTGAGGATATAGTGTAAAAACCAATCCGAGGCCGATGATAATAATACGACATTCTTGCTCGTTGCGAAGCTAATTTTCAGTCTTTTGATATTTTGTAATGCTTTAACGAAAACGCTTTTATATTCCAATTTTCAAAGTGAATGTTATTTATAAAGAAGTACACAGAAGTTCCGAATCTCAAAATGTCAAACTTTAAATATTATACGTTCTGCAGATATCGCCAGTCTTGTAATTGGCTCTTAAAAATTGACTGATATTCAAAATATCCAATATAATGTAACTCATTTTTTGTTTTTAAATAATAGTCCTTTTATCCTAATAACACAATTTCAGCTGTCGTCGGCGACCATTTGTTCAGAAGATAATCACGTTTCTTGGCTGCCACTCTTTGTAACTTCGTAACCTGGATAAAAAGGTGGATTAATTGTGGTTTATCTGATTCTGTTCTATCCGCGATTGTTTTATATCAAGACAAGGTGGACACTGAGGTTGATCCAGCGACCAATCAAATATGGAGGGCAAGAGCCAAGAGGAAGCAAATGTAAGTAATATTGACAAACCAGTTGTGTCGCTGTCCAGTGTCTTTGCTGCGTGGATTTATCTTGTCGACACAGCGGTTCGTGTCAAATTGACCACATTTGTGAACGCTGAGGAAGGGAATTCGGATTACAAATTTATAATAGGGGAAGTACGGCTCTTTATAAAGATATGATTTAGTAAAAGTAATTGCTGAATCATTAACACAATGAAAATGTGCATTGTATTGTAGATTGTATTTAACTGCAGTCAATGAATAAAAAAAGTCTGGTTCGTAGCTGAAACTTTTTCCGCCACAGTAAATGTTTTTAAATCGGATAGAATATTTAAAGGGGAAGCCAAGGGGTATTTTTGGGTACTTTGGGGGATTTCATTCTGGGGGATTTCGAAGGCGTTCATAGGCTATCGCTATCCATTATCGGTATGAAATCTTTTATCTAGATAAACAGATAAAGATTTAGGTTTTATCTAGACAAAACCGATCATTTTTCTGCTGAAGGCTAAAGCCAAAATGTTATCCAAATTTCATAAAAAACTAATTGTCGACTTTAAACATTGTTTTACCAGTAATCTTGGCAAATAAAAGTACCACTTCCTTTCTTTGAAAATAGTAAAGCACCAGTTTTCTTCTCCTAGAAAAGTAGTGCACCATGACCATTTCTCCTCAAAACAATAGACCAACGGTTTCCTTCTCCCGAGAACATGAACAGTAGTGCACCAGTTCTCTTCAAAATAGTAGACCAACGGTTTCCTTCTCCCGAGAACAGTAGTGCACCAGTTCTCTTCAAAACAGTTAAGCATTAAATAATTCAGTAAACCGTTTCCTTATCCTGTGGATAACTTGGAGCAACAGATTCCTTCTCCTGGGAACAATGTTTCACGCCCAGAACACTTACGGAATACAATTGAGTGCCCTGCCGGTATTTTTGACTCTCGTTAACAGTAACATGCTCGGCCCATGCCCGTCTCCAGAATGGTTACAAAGGTAAAACGCCAGCACCCTCAAGAGAACAATACCAATAACCTTCTCTGGATTTCTACAGTTCATACAGTTCTACAGTTCCATAGGTATACAAATGTAAATAAACCTCTTAAGCACACATCCAAGTAAAATGACATCCAAGGAATGACATAAAGATCTCTTCTCTGTGGGGGTAGTCAAACAATATGATGACCCTATTAAAGCTGAACGAATAACAACATAGTTGAAGGAATTACAACATGAGTTGGGTAGGGCAAAATGTCAAAGTTACACCCCTCTCATCCTGAGCTGTATTTTACTAAACTAAACAGTCACACCCTGCTCCTGTTACACTAAGCTAACAGTTACACCCCGGCCCCTGTGTTACAATAAGCTAACAGTAACACCCCGCCCCCTTTGTAACACTAAGCTAACAGTTACTTCCTGCCCCCTGTGTTATACCAAGCTAACAGTTATCAGGTGTGCGCAGGATTTTTGAAAGGGCAAAGCGCCGGCTCTGAGGTTACCGTTGCGAGCAGCCCCCGGAAAATTGTTCGACTGGATTATATACTAAACCAATAGGATATCATACAGAAGGTTCAAAGCAGCAGTTGATTAGACAATTTGTTATTAGTAATATTTTGAATTAAAAACTTGGACAAATTAAAATTAAAGATAGCACGAGTTTTAAGTTATTCTGGATATCTCCAGTCTGAAAAGATGCCGTATGGCTTAGCGTACGCTTTTTGGTACTGGATCGTGATGTCCCATGATTCTGAAATAATGATGTTTTTTGACCCTTCTGATTAAGACTGAGGCTGATCCTCAGAGCTTTCCAATTATATTAATCTGCCTATCTCAAATCTCTTTTGAGCCTCATCATACCCACTCAACTATGAGGATTGGCTTCCTAGATTTAGGAGCAGCCAACCCATGGAAATTATATATGCACAAGGCATGTGTATCGACCTAATTAATTCGAACCTACTATATTCGTTTAAAAATAAAACTTTTGCATCATGTCATTAACGCAAATGTTTGTGAAAATGTTTATAAAATTGTTTATAAAATTATTTTGTTGCTCTGTAGAAGGCAATTAAAAAAAATTCTGGGTCAGCATTTCAAAAAGGGCCAGGGGCGGGGGCCGGCGCGGGGGGCGATCGCCTACATCGCCACCCGCCTGCGAACCAGGCCTCCCACCCTCAAATTCCCTAAAATTCTAGGTTTTAAAGGTGGTTTTCTTGGTTTTCAAACCCCTTAATTCAAGGTTTTCAGATAGCCATTTTCAAGGTTTTCAAGGTTTTTTAAGACGAATATGTATGTTTGCACTACGAAAACTTGTTAATTTTATCTATTTTCTCAAAACTAATGAATGAAATAATATAACCTGGACTAGGTTAGGATTGCTCAAAACATAAATGAGGGGACTGGTGGGGCAAAGGATATGATTTTAAGCAAGAAAACTGCCGGAGGCGAAATTTATAGTTGAAATTCAAGGTTTTCAAGCGTTTTTGTGAAAATCCAAGGTTTGCAAGGTTTTTGATTCAAAATATCAGAAATCAAGGTTCTCAAGGGTTTCAAGGTTGGCTGCTGCCACACGCCCATGACAGTTACACCCCGGCATCTATGTTACAGTTAGCTAACAGTTTCACCCCCCGGCCCTGTGTTCAGATAGCTGTATGCAATGTCTCTCAAAACTTGATTTTATAAGCTGTTCCTGATAGAATGATATCCTATCAGGAGCTCCCATGGAAAAATATTGTTCCTAGCCAAAGTTGCCCCATAAAGTTATCAGCTTTTCAAATAAAATAATCAAAAAAAGGCCTATTTTAAAATTTTGATGAGACATAATTTTTCTAAATGGTCCTTAGAACATATCCTGAAAGTTTCAAGGTGATTGCTCAAAAATGTAGGAGAAGATGGAATTTTAGTTTTCAAGGCGCGCCTAATTAAAACCGCTTGCGCAAATACACTTACATGTAATGAGCGATGACCTTTTGACGGTCATACCCTTTGACTAGGAACAATAATTTTCCTTAGCAGCAATGATTCTAAACATTTCAATGCTCACGTTTGACTAATTAAGCTAATGATTGATCTGAAAAGAAACATATTGTATGAAGTAAAGTCACTGGTAATTTGAACAGCTAAGAGCGTAAAATGGGGTTGGCTAATTAACTCAACAACCAGAAGCCTGAGGACTAAATAACAAGCCTCTACCCCACTAATATCTGAATTTTTGAACATCCAGTTACCCAAGTTTAGATTATATTCCTAACTATAATCAGCAGTAGAGTTATTTTCATTTTCTCTATTATCACCACAGGCTAGAGCATAATTTAAGTAGGTTTTGGTCTATTAAATCGACAGCCAGCATGATGCCTGAGGAAGTTTAAACTAGGCTTTACCCCACTTAATATGATCATTTTACTACTCAATTTACGCCCCTAACTTCAATCAGAAAACCGAGTCATTTTGATTTTAAGTGCAGTGGTCGCCACATGCTCAAACTGCAGCATAAATTTTGGGTATTATGAGGACCTTTTTCACAGATGATTTCCAATGCCCATTAAGGCATTCCCAATAATACCCCTTGGTTCCTCCATAGTTCTAACCATATAATGGCCAAACCATATGTTCTAACATAATTATTTTAATGACCAAACCTTAGTTGATTACATCTTTCATCCCGAATTGAAGCTTGACAGGATATTCCGCCTTTTTTCTGCCTGCTGAAATTCTTGTTACTCCTTCGAAGCTTGCAAAGCGTGTATATGTCACTTTGTGTCTAAAGTTCCTGGTCCCTGAAGGATTTTGATTGAGCAGCAGTTTAAATACGAATTTTTTAGAATCTAAAGTCCAATGATTCACAGATAATTAAGAAAACAGAAATTACAAAGTAAAAAGCAGTTATTTAGACCTTTATGGAAGCTGTGAATGTTGTGCAATAATCTTTGTGATGTTCTTATCATAATCTCACTATTCTAACACTCCTCAGCATATCAACTCTTTCAACCTGAACAGAAATGTAAAATAAAAAGCTTTTTCGTGGCACACCTGTGCATTTTGAGTTTGTGCCACAATATTATAAAAGTTAAAATTATTATTTATATTTCATATGTAACAATCAAAGCGAGATATTACTTTTAGGTAATTAGTGGTTATCTCCCAAAAGGATTCTCACCAGTATATAATTTGAATAATCAAATTGAATAATCAAATCTGAAATCAAACACAAAATACCTTTCTTTTACAGAGCAAATGTGTGACTTTCGTGGTGAATCATATGAAAACTTTCCCAAGTCTGCTATCCTTGTTACCAACTGACCATATCATAGCATAGACAAACCGTATGAAACATCCTAGATTATTGTAGTTTGAGAAGTCAAAACATGAATAATTAGCTCACACCTCTGAAGAGGCAATGAAGGAATAAGAATATCACGCATCGAATGGACCAAAGTGCATCAACTTTATATCAAAAGTGTATCAAAGTATCAACTTACTGCCAACGATACAGTAGTTCTTTACAAAAAAATTCGTTTTTAGATAGAAGGTAATTCTTGGCAGACGACATTGCAAAACTAGACAAGAAAACCAAAACTTTCATGATAAACTACTATTTACTGGCCAGTCTGAACTAACAAAATAGTCTGAACTAACAAAATAAACCTCGCTGGTCGATTAGGAGGATGAGAGAGACAACAATAACATGCACCTGAAAAAAACAGCAGGTTTGTGGCAGGTATAATGAGTGGCGAGAAGGTTAGCGCTCGATTCATAGGTGATTTTAAATTATATTATAGTTGGTGAGCCGCGCGCCAAATGAAAAAAAATTTCATAAATGATGAATCCAAAATCTAAATTTAGTTATATTCATAAGTCATTTGAAAATACCAAATACTGTCACAGAGTATTAGAAATAAAATTAAACAAACAAATCAAAATTTGTACTTAACCCAAGTACAACGGAAATCATTTTAAAATCATCTAAACTAAACTTTTGATTTTGAGCCTGCAGCTTACTTTGTTAACTTAAAATAAATTTAAAATGCTAAACAATTTTTCGCGGCGGTCATCAAGATAAATTCGAATTTTTAATCTAAAATAAGCCCCCCCCCCCCCCCTCCCCTATTGTTTAGGAAGTTGACAGACATAATAAAAATCACATAAACATAGTGCCAAAAATGAAAATAATTTAGCAAATCTAAAATAATATATTAATCCACATTACATTTATATTTAAAAAACATAAAAGTAATTGTATGAAATGAATTAACATGATTTTGTAAAATGAAAAAATAATTGCCGAATTCGTTTTCGGAATTAATTAAACTCAGCTTGTACATTTGTTTTCGTGTGGCTCAGATAATATTATTTTAAAATGGCATGGCTTGCATTATAATTATATAAAAGTGTTTGATAGCAAAATCATTTCAATGACAACTATAAACTTTTCTTAAACTAGCGGGGTTGATTTTGAGAGTTTTCAATTTTGGCTTTGAAAAAAGTGACATGTGACAGCTCCGTTTAAATTGTTTAGCAATATTATATGATATAATATAAAAATTGAAAAAAGGCAAAATAAACGATGGAGCCATGCTGCAGTATGCAGTTGCATTTATTAAAAATAATATTGTTGTTTATTTATTTGAATTTTAATATTCTTAAAAATGAATACAATTCAATTTGCAATTCATATTCAATATTCATGATTTATGAATATGAAACTATTTTTCATTTTTTTTCATTTGGCGCGCGGCTCACCAACTATAATATAATTTAAAATCACCTATGAATCGAGCGCTAACCTTCTCGCCACTCATTTTACCTGCCACAAACCTGCTGTTTTTTCAGGTGCATGTTATTGTTGTCTCTCTCATCCTCCAATCGACCAGCCGAGGTTTATTTTGTTAGTTCAGACTATTTTGTTAGTTCAGACTGCCAGTAAATAGTAGTTATCATGAAAGTTTTGGTTTTCTTGTCTAGTTTTGAAATGTCGTTCTGCCAAGAATTAGCCTTCTATCGTAAAACGAATTTTTTTGTAAAGAACTACTGTATCGTTTGCAGTGGTATTCTTGTGGCAGTAAGTTGATACTTTGATACACTTTTGATATAAAGTTGATGCACTTTGATCCATTCGATGCGTGATATTCTTATTCCTTCATTGCCTCTTCAGAGGTGTGAGCTAATTATTCATGTTTTGACTTCTCAAACTACAATAATCTAGGATGTTTCATACGGTTGTCTATGCTATGATATGGTCAGTTGGTAACAAGGATAGCAGACTTGGGAAAGTTTTCATATGATTCACCACGAAAGTCACACATTTGCTCTGTAAAAGAAAGGTATTTTGTTGTTTGATTTCAGATTTGATTATTCAATTTGATTATTCAAATTATATACTGGTGAGAATCCTTTTGGGAGGATAACCACTAATTACCTAAAAGTAATATCTCGCTTTGATTGTTACATATGAAATATAAATAATAATTTTAACTTTTATAATATTGTGGCACAAAACTCAAAATGCACAGGTGTGCCACGAAAAAGCTTTTTATTTTACATTTCTGTTCAGGTTGAAAGAGTTGATATGCTGAGGAGTGTTAGAATGGAGATTATGATAAGAACATCACAAAGATGTATTGCACAACATTCACAGCTTCATAAAGGTCTAAATAACTGCTTTTTACTTGTAATTCTGTTTTCTTAATTATCTGTGAATACATTTGGACTTTAGATTCTAAAAAATTCGTATTTAACTGCTGCTCAATCAAAATCCTTCAGGGACCAGGAACTTAAGACACAAAGTGACATATACACGCTTTGCAACTTCGAAGGAGTAGACAAGAATTTCAGCAGCAGAAAAAAGGCGGAATATCCTGTCAAGCTTCAATTCGGATTGAAAGATGAAATCAACTAAGGTTTGTCATTAAAATAATTATGTTAGAACATATGGTTTGGCCATTATATGGTTAGAACTATGGGGGAAGCCAAGGGGTATTATTGGGAATGCCTTAATGGGCATTGGAAATCATCTGTGAAAAAGGTCCTCATAATTACCCAAAATTATGCTGCAGTTTGATGCATGTTGCGACCACTGCACTTAAAATCAAAATGACTCGGTTTCTGATTGAAGTTAGGGGCTTAAATTGAGTAGTAAAATGATCATATTAAGTGGGGTAAAGCCTAGGTTAAACTTCCTCAGGCATCATGCTGGGCTGTCGATTTAATAGACCAAAACCTACTTAAATTATGCTCTAGCCTGTGGTGATAATAGAGAAAATGAAAATAACTCTACTGCTGATTATAGTTAGGAATATAATCTAAACTTGGGTAACTGGATGTTCAAAATTCAGATTATTAGTGGGGTAGAGCTTGGTTTTTAAGTCCTCAGGCTTCTGGTTGTTGAGTTAATTAGCCAAACCCCATTTTTACGCTCTTAGCTGTTCAAATTACCAGTGACTTTACTTCATACAATATGTTTCTTTTCAGATCAATCATTAGCTTAATTAGTCAAACGTGAGCATTGAAATGTTTAGAATCATTGCTGCTAAGGAAAATTATTGTTCCTAGTCAAGGGTATGACCGGTCAAAGGTCATCGCTCATTACATGTAATTGTATTGCGCAAGCGGTTTTCAATAGCGCGCCTTGAAAACTAAAATTCCATCTTCTCCTACATTTTTTGAGCAATCACCTTGAAACTTTCAGGATATGTTCTAAGGACCATTTAGAAAAATTATGTCTCATCAAAATTTTAAAATAGGCCTTTTTTTGATTATTTTATTTGAAAAGCTGATAACTTTATGGGGCAACTTTGGCTAGGAACAATATTTTCCATGGGAGCTCCTGATAGATATCATTCTATCAGGAACAGCTATAAAATCAATTTTGAGAGACATTGCATACAGCTATCTGAAACACAGGGGCCGGGGTGAAACTGTTAGCTAACTGTAACATAGATGCCGGGGTGTAACTGTCATGGGCGTGTGCAGCAGCCAACCTTGAAACCCTTGAGAACCTTGATTTCTGATATTTTGAATCAAAAACCTTGCAAACCTTGGATTTTCACAAAAACGCTTGAAAACCTTGAATTTCAACTATAAATTTCGCCTCCGGCAGTTTTCTTGCTTAAAATCATATCCTTTGCCCCACCAGTCCCCTCATTTATGTTTTGAGCAATCCTAACCTAGTCCAGGTTATATTATTTCATTCATTAGTTTTGAGAAAATAGATAAAATTAACAAGTTTTCGTAGTGCAAACATACATATTCGTCTTAAAAAACCTTGAAAACCTTGAAAATGGCTATCTGAAAACCTTGAATTAAGGGTTTGAAACCAAGAAAACCACCTTTAAAACCTAGAATTTTAGGGAATTTGAGGGTGGGAGGCCTGGTTCGCAGGCGGGTGGCGATGTAGGCGATCGCCCCCCGCGCCGGCCCCCGCCCCTGGCCCTTTTTGAAATGCTGACCCAGAATTTTTTTTAATTGCCTTCTACAGAGCAACAAAATAATTTTATAAACAATTTTATAAACATTTTCACAAACATTTGCGTTAATGACATGATGCAAAAGTTTTATTTTTAAACGAATATAGTAGGTTCGAATTAATTAGGTCGATACACATGCCTTGTGCATATATAATTTCCATGGGTTGGCTGCTCCTAAATCTAGGAAGCCAATCCTCATAGTTGAGTGGGTATGATGAGGCTCAAAAGAGATTTGAGATAGGCAGATTAATATAATTGGAAAGCTCTGAGGATCAGCCTCAGTCTTAATCAGAAGGGTCAAAAAACATCATTATTTCAGAATCATGGGACATCACGATCCAGTACCAAAAAGCGTACGCTAAGCCATACGGCATCTTTTCAGACTGGAGATATCCAGAATAACTTAAAACTCGTGCTATCTTTAATTTTAATTTGTCCAATGTTTTAAATTCAAAATATTACTAATAACAAATTGTCTAATCAACTGCTGCTTTGAACCTTCTGTATTGATATCCTATTGGTTTAGTATATAATCCAGTCGAACAATTTTCCGGGGGCTGCTCGCAACGGTAACCTCAGAGCCGGCGCTTTGCCCTTTCAAAAATCCTGCGCACACCTGATAACTGTTAGCTTGGTATAACACAGGGGGCAGGATGTAACTGTTAGCTTAGTGTTACAAAGGGGGCGGGGTGTTACTGTTAGCTTATTGTAACACAGGGGCCGGGGTGTAACTGTTAGCTTAGTGTAACAGGAGCAGGGTGTGACTGTTAGTTTAGTAAAATACAGCTCAGGATGAGAGGGGTGTAACTTTGACATTTTGCCCTACCCAACTCATGTTGTAATTCCTTCAACTATGTTGTTATTCGTTCAGCTTTAATAGGGTCATCATATTGTTTGACTACCCCACAGAGAAGAGATCTTTATGTCATTCCTTGGATGTCATTTTACTTGGATGTGTGCTTAAGAGGTTTATTTACATTTGTATACCTATGGAACTGTAGAACTGTATGAACTGTAGAAATCCAGAGAAGGTTATTGGTATTGTTCTCTTGAGGGTGCTGGCGTTTTACCTTTGTAACCATTCTGGAGACGGGCATGGGCACGAGCATGTTACTGTTAACGAGAGTCAAAAATACCGGCAGGGCACTCAATTGTATTCCGTAAGTGTTCTGGGCGTGAAACATTGTTCCCAGGAGAAGGAATCTGTTGCTCCAAGTTATCCACAGGATAAGGAAACGGTTTACTGAATTATTTAATGCTTAACTGTTTTGAAGAGAACTGGTGCACTACTGTTCTCGGAGAAGGAAACCGTTGGTCTACTATTTTGAAGAGAACTGGTGCACTACTGTTCATGTTCTCGGGAGAAGGAAACCGTTGGTCTATTGTTTTGAGGAGAAATGGTCATGGTGCACTACTTTTCTTAGGAGAAGAAAACTGGTGCTTTACTATTTTCAAAAGAAAGGAAGTGGTACTTTTATTTGCCAAGATTACTGGTAAAACAATGTTTAAAGTCGACAATTAGTTTTTTATGAAATTTGGATAACATTTTGGCTTTAGCCTTCAGCAGAAAAATGATCGGTTTTGTCTAGATAAAACCTAAATCTTTATCTGTTTATCTAGATAAAAGATTTCATACCGATAATGGATAGCGATAGCCTATGAACGCCTTCGAAATCCCCCAGAATGAAATCCCCCAAAGTACCCAAAAATACCCCTTGGCTTCCCCTTTAAATATTCTATCCGATTTAAAAACATTTACTGTGGCGGAAAAAGTTTCAGCTACGAACCAGACTTTTTTATTCATTGACTGCAGTTAAATACAATCTACAATACAATGCACATTTTCATTGTGTTAATGATTCAGCAATTACTTTTACTAAATCATATCTTTATAAAGAGCCGTACTTCCCCTATTATAAATTTGTAATCCGAATTCCCTTCCTCAGCGTTCACAAATGTGGTCAATTTGACACGAACCGCTGTGTCGACAAGATAAATCCACGCAGCAAAGACACTGGACAGCGACACAACTGGTTTGTCAATATTACTTACATTTGCTTCCTCTTGGCTCTTGCCCTCCATATTTGATTGGTCGCTGGATCAACCTCAGTGTCCACCTTGTCTTGATATAAAACAATCGCGGATAGAACAGAATCAGATAAACCACAATTAATCCACCTTTTTATCCAGGTTACGAAGTTACAAAGAGTGGCAGCCAAGAAACGTGATTATCTTCTGAACAAATGGTCGCCGACGACAGCTGAAATTGTGTTATTAGGATAAAAGGACTATTATTTAAAAACAAAAAATGAGTTACATTATATTGGATATTTTGAATATCAGTCAATTTTTAAGAGCCAATTACAAGACTGGCGATATCTGCAGAACGTATAATATTTAAAGTTTGACATTTTGAGATTCGGAACTTCTGTGTACTTCTTTATAAATAACATTCACTTTGAAAATTGGAATATAAAAGCGTTTTCGTTAAAGCATTACAAAATATCAAAAGACTGAAAATTAGCTTCGCAACGAGCAAGAATGTCGTATTATTATCATCGGCCTCGGATTGGTTTTTACACTATATCCTCAAATCATGGCATATAATACAGAAACTGATTATGACAGCATAGTTGGTTGTCGGATTGGTTGAAACTTAAATGCCCTCATATTATTTCATATAATTTGATTGTTATTTTAATTTGTATTCCATCATTTGGGTAACTGTATCGGAAGTAATGAATAGATGGAAAGTGGCTTGTATCTGATTTACAAAAAGAAGTATAATTCATGCAGTCAGGTATTTGAAACCGTGTTACTATTTCAACGGTGACTGGCGGCCACTTTCTGTCGCAATTTTTGCCGCACTCATGAATCCCGGATTTTGGCACATTGAGACAAATTTGGGACAGAAATTTGAGGCAATAGGTATGCCAGGGCTGACTTGTAATCAATCTGGCATGGTAGAGAGGGTACCGGGTCTGTTGGCTTAACTGGACGCTTGGCCTAACTTGACTAATGGCCTAACAAGTAATAGTATACTGAACAAACGGACGGATGGCCTATTCCTAACTTAGGGCAGATTTTAGGCCGATAGTCTACTTGAGGTCACCTGGCCTAACTGCATGAGTGATGTGACCCGTAAGTGCACTGTATTGCTCTTAACATGAGCTGACAGGGCATGCTATATCCTAGCTCGATGACATGGACCAAATTAATTAGTCAAGTACATATTATATAAGTATATAGCCGTTGAGGAAAGGGTCCTTTTGGATCCAGCGCAGCGTCCAGAAATATTGGTGATCCCCCTGAAAACAGCTGATTCCCTTGTGTATGTGTGAGCTAACGAGCTCTTTATTGATGAGAGATATAGACATGGATCACGTCAGCATGGCCACTTACTCGTCGAAGCACGTCATCGGGCTCATATAGCATGCTTTGTCAGCTCATGGTGAGTAAAACGGTGCACGTACGGGTCTCATCACACTGTAGCCCGTCAGTCCAGTTAGGCCAAGCGACTAAAGGTGGACTGTTGGTCTGTTAAACTTCAATTTAAAGTAGTATTAGACCCCAAACGGTCGCCTGAACTAACTGGTCTTATGGCCTAATTCATGGATTTAGGCGCTAGTCCAGTTAGGCAAAGAGACCTAGAATCATTCAAAACTGGCTGGAAAGGTTAGTTCATATGCCACCTATCATACCAAAGCAAATTCAACTCAGTTTATAAACAAAATAAAGGATATCGGGCCTTAAAAATTGACAAATTTTTTTCGAAAACTAGGCCAAAATTTCGGATTAATTCTCTGCGCGCGGAAACCGAACCTGTATTTTATAAATAAACGTGATAATGACAACAATTTACGTGGCATTATTTGCGCGACGCAAAATCTATAAACCCTCATTATAATGGGGGTTAAACTGTCATTGCTAGCTGTCGTAGCTAGCTCAGTTTTTTAAGACAGCTACCTACGACAGCTAGCGCGCATCAACCCTCATTTCTAGCTGTCTTAGAAATTGCCTCCTAAGACAGCTAGAGCGCGCTAGCTGTCTTAGATTTTTTGTAGGGTTGGATTCCTCTGTTACAGGGTCTGCATGGGCCGGCATTAAACAATCAATAGTGTTTATCCCACTCCTATCAGCAGGGCACTTTTCATCTCCCGATGAGGCATCGGATGCATATTGGTCTGAAATAAAGGGAATATTTATAAAAGCAATTAAATCACGGGTAATGAAGAATTAACCACAATGCAATCATTAAAAACCACGTTAACTATATAGTCGTATATTGTGCATCCAGTTTCGCAAATGCGAGCAGTTACGAAAATATATAAATTTGAGTAGAAGGTGATAACTAGATGATTTCCAATTTACAGTAAAGAACGAAAAAGTATAGTGCTCTCATCTCGTCAGACTCTCGCTACCCAAACTCTTTCATTGTTTTCCTTCGCTATAATAGAATGAATTCTAATTTCAGCGAAATTGAAACTGAAACTGAAATTGAAACTGAAACTGAAACCCCTTTCAAGGTGCTCGTATGGGGTGAGAAGTAAGAATCATACAGCTACAGATAACACCGGTAACAAGTCAGAGTGAGATGTGATGAGAGTGGGAATAGAAACATACACTCCCACCAAGTGCAGTGACTTGCATAATCACTGGAGTTACCATGACAACACTTCCTGCATTCCCTAAACAGTAATGTCCCATTTAAAAAGTTTCTCATCAATTATGTAAGCAAGAAAAGGTATTATACAAACACACAACACTTAAATTTAGTTTTGTGTGTTTGCTCAAAAATTTTTTATTCAATTTTGAAAATATTGGACCTCGATTTTTTACGATTTTTCGATGTCCAGGATTTTCAAAATTGAATAAAAAAATTTTAAAGGCCTATCTCCAAATTTTGTATGAGCAATTTCTTCTAAATGGTCCCTAGAACATATCATGAAAGTTTCAGGGTGATTGCTCAAAAAATGTAGGAGAAGATAGATTTTTAGACTCGATTTTCAGAACTTGCGATTGAAAATCGCTCGCGCAATACATTTACACATAAGCGCTGACCTTAGACCGGCGATAATTTCGGCTAGAAACAATATTTTTCCATGGGACCAAAAGCAGCTGGTAGATATCACTCCCTTCTATTAGAAACAACTATAAAGTCAATTTCGAGAGATTTTTGATGAAGACCCCCCGGCCCCCATAACGCATATAAACGCATATTAACACATATATAAACGCATATTAATCTTTAGATTTAGTACTCACAGTTGGCAATGTTGATGCACGTATTGGTATCGAAGCTATAAGCTTTTTTTGCGGCGGCGTTGCCGGTGTTCGTTCTCTTATCCAAAACATAGGAAGTTAAACCTTCGCTATTGTAATTGTCCACAATCACGACATTACTCCTTTCAAACGGCGCTTTTACAGGGTCGTAAGTGGACGCTGAAATTTGTTTGTTATTTCATATTCATAAATCAATAAATTAGTTGTTAGGCTTATCCAAGTGCCAGCACAATCTACAAAGTTATATACCGAAATGAATCGGGATCAGCTTACTGGTAACTATTTAAACAAACGTTTTCTAAACGTCGTTTTTAATAGTTTAAAGTTAAACGTTCCGCCCGAACTTTTGAGGGGGTCACGGACTCCGTGCGCCCAAAAAATCACCTTGACGTACCTAAAACCAAAATTTGGCGACAAATGTTTTTACAATATGATTCTGCACCGATTCCGATCTGCGCAATTTCGGTACTAGTTTGTTGGTCAAATGCCATCTCGAAAACAAGTTCCATAAAAAATACGTGAACTCCCACCTCCCCCCCCCCCCCCCCCCCCCCCCCCCTTTCCCCCATTTATGTTAAGATATTATATTATCGAAATAAAATATTTCTTTTTCAGATTAACTTACGGAACATCCATGTGATTTTGGCTGGTAGAACAGTTGCCTGATCGGTAAATATGGTAAGGAAACGTCCGTCAAGTGCAGAATTAGCTTTTAACGCTGCAGTACAATCTGCCGAAATAGTATCGGAAGTAGTCAGTTGGATGGTGCCAAGATAAGCTGCTAACGTGTCTGGGGTATCAGCGATAATGGCATACGTAACATCGAAGCTAGCTGATGGCTTCGGAGCGTCTTCAGGTAAAACAAACGTAAGGGCTGACTCCACAAAGACGTCTTCAACAGCTGCACGGCACTCGAGTGTAACCTTATACTGCTCAAGATTATCACTAGATAGACCAGTGAATGCAGCTGTTAATTTGACTAGGCCTTCTGCTCCAGCAGCATCAGACGTGTGTACTGTGTGGATAACTTCAGACTCCACTAATGTTATCTCACTTTTTAGAGTCAGATCATAACTAAGCAAGTCCCATGAAATTGTCATCTTGTTAGCGGCGTCATCCACGGTTTGAACGTCGACTTCAGCAGGTTGACTGTTAGAGATAAGACCTGAAATAAAATTAAAAAATTAATCACCAAATAGGAAATTCAGAGCTATATTTATAATAATACTATAATATATTATACAACACGCCAAATAACTATAAGATGCAGCTCTAGTGTGTAGGTATATCATTAAAACGACTCACCATCCGCGCTCTCTGGGAGTTGACCAACTTCACGCCCAAGGAAAAAAAGGTCCAATGGTCCAGCTTTCGTAAAAGCGAACGCCTCTGCTCCGGTCCACTCAATTTGTTCAGGGAAACAAAAATGTGCTGTTTCAGTAACGCCAATCAATAGCAAAACCAAAGTCCAGGTCTGATAGAGAGCAAAGAATTTAGTATCAAATTTGGTGCATATGCCCAAATATGGGCATATGGTTTTTGGCTCATAACTCAGTCATTTTTTGTCCAATTTGGATGAAAATTGGCCAAATTTGGCTCAAATATAGGTGCGGCTGCACTGCGGGCACCGGTGGACGGTTGGGGTCCGGGACCCCCTCAAAAGTTTGGTCATGGGTCTTAGTTTGTCGGTCAACTGCTATGTCAGAATCAAGTTTCATAAAAATTTCAGACTGGACGGCGGACAGTTCAAACATTAGGTAATGGATATTATATAAGCCATTTTTGACCTTATCTCCGCTGGACTGACGTACGCAATATGTGAAAAGATCCCTTGTGTAACCATGGTAACAATACTGTAACCATGGTAACAATACTGGACTCACCTTCATGTCTAATAGCTGTGCACCGTCAATAGTCGTTACTGTTTTGATCAATCCTAGCCTATAATGATATTCAAGGTTATAATGCTTTTGGAAACGAAGGGAAACACAAAATGCAATGCTTGAAATCTTCGTAAATTTACATCATTAGAGCCTGTAAAACATTTAAGATAAGCACTCAATCAAGTAAAATTCATATATATAATCATCATAGTTTGTTAGATAGATAGCACTCAGTTTGACTGTTCAACTCTCTACTAAGATAAAGAACTCAAACATAAATATCAAAGTGCGATTGCTGAAAGGTTATCGGGTAAAACTTATTTAAATGACCCAAATGAGAAAATGAATGAACTTTTTAGTGACATACGTGCGTGTGCTGAAGAAACTATACCACTGAAAGGGAAATCCTCTAAAAAAAATTCTCCAGTGATCTAACAGTAGCTTCATTAGTTGCTAAAAAGCTCAGACTCTGAAGATAAAATCAGCCCCAAGTGGTAGTGATGATAGGAGAGAAGTTAGAAAGATTCAGAGTAGCATTTCTAAGAGACTTGTGCAAATAAATAACATTAAGGCTGACGCTCTAGCAAAAGAAAGAAATAACATTGATGATGCTAGAAAGATGTTTGAAGCTTCAAGATCTTTAGCTGGAATAAAAAAGTCGGGTAACATACTGGTCAATGACATCAACAACAACCCTATTGGTACTGATTTAGGGAAAGCAAACACAGCGAAAGCTTTCTTCGAAAAACAACTAACAAAAGGAGTTGAAGCTGGCCTGCAACCTTTCACCTGCGATCCAAAACCACTTGATAACCCCATTACACCAGTTGACGTTAAACTTGCTGCAAGTAAACTCAAATCAAACCGTGCCAGTGGTCCAGATAATCTCCAGAATGAGTTGATAAAGTACGCCCATCCAATTATTTTTGAGAAGTATGCTGAGGCAATCAATGAGTGATATAGTGGGAACAAATACATTAGTTCGATAGGACAAGGTATTGTGACTCCTCGACTGTAAATGCCTCGAGCTCCCACTTCTACTGTCTGGAGCTTGCAATCCCATCCGTTGGCTTCTATCTCTTTTGTCAGCTGCTGATATCTCTTCATCTTTCGCTTCTCTTGATCAGCAAAGTTCTGCTCATTTCCACAAGTCAGCTCCATTAAATAAACCTTCTTTGCTTTATCTGAATAGATCACTACATCAGGTCTTAGTGGTGTAGCTGCAATGTGCTGCGGGAAGTTCCTCAGTCTCTCATCCTCATCAAATATTATCAAATTGGAGTTTTGTAAGTATACCTTATCGGACCTTATTTGGACGGACATTACATGAACGGACATAATTGTGAACGGACATTAATATGAACGCTCGAAGGCATTCAAAACCATCAAAAATCCGAATTTTTTTCAATTTTTGACGTTTTTTAAATTTCAGCAAATGATTTTTTAATCCATTTTTTATACAGTAAGTAAGAATAGCAGTCATTAAGCAGTAAAAATGTTAAAATATGTGTACATGATCAGTGTCTAATATCACATATCATCTTCATTAAATGGGTTTTCGTGCATGAAATAGTCCATGCTTAAACAAGCATCAGTGATTTCTAGCTTTGTGGAAACCTTTTTTATCATACTACCCCGGTCCTGCCTTTCAGTGTTAACTTTTACAAGCCATTCGGCGTGAAGTGGTTTTATCTTAGACAACTTTAGGTTAACCTTAACATCACGTGAAGCTTTCCTAGCACTGTTTCATTACCTCCCCTCAGTAATATGAACTATAAAAACGTCGGACAATGTCCTTGGCAACACGATTTACCGTAATATCTAGAGGCTGGAACAAGTTTGTCATGTTGGCGGGGACTAGCTCATGAACTATGTTGTTGAGTGCCATGATTTCGTTGACTTTTTCCGCCAAGTGACCCTTGAAAACATTATATACTAGTAGAGTTTTCTGTGCTTCCGGCAGACCAAGGAGAACCTTTCCGTCGTTAACTTACGGCACAATAAAGTTCTCATAGTTGTCATACTCATATTCTGGGTAAAAAGTTCGAAATGGAAAAATGTTTGAAAAAATTTCAACGGACTTTAACTTGGACGGACATTAATTGAACGGACTTTATTTGAACGGACATTAAGATGAACGCTAGGGCCCCAGTGCGAAATTATTTCAAAGCCAGTAGGAATAATTTTTTAGCCTAAAAACCCAGCAGTAAACCAGTAAATAACAATTAATAGTACATAGTAATACAGTGAATTTTTGACCCTTTTCAGACTGAAACGTTTTTCTTCTCAGATGTTTTCTATTCTTCAAAAGTAAGTATTGTTTTCAGAAATTCGCAATATCTGAGGTACAACGTATTAAAGGCCTTTTGTGGAAACATACTTACTCACTGTCTCCCTACTTTTTAAGGCTAAAGGTGCACGGCTTAAACTTCACTTATGACCAATGACGATAAATACAAAATTGAAATCTATGTAATACAAATTCAACCGTGCTCAATCACTCAGTCGATTTTCGAGAATTTTCTAAAAGGGCCCCCGGCAGTTAAAACCAATTTGAATCGATGCATTTTCGAACGCTGATTCCGAATTACCCTTCATCATGAAGGCTTCATGACATGGGTTAAAATGCTCACAGTACATGGCAAGATATAAGGGAAAAACTGTCTCAATCACATGATATGACCGTATAATGAAGTTGGTCTAATTTCTCGTTAGGGTTAGTGGTTAGGGTTTCAGTGTATGCTTTTTAAAGATTGGGCTAGGGTTGGGATCAGATTAGAGGGCTAAAATTTCGAATAGTCATTCAGGGCCAGCTAGACAACGTGTTTATAAAGTCCGTGACAGTCGAGTGTAGAGTAATTAATTATCATCATTCATCCATACAACTTTCTGATCGTGATTAAATTTATATTGTTACATGTTATGTCATCAATTTAGTAATTTACGTTGCATCAGTTCTAGTTTATAATTATGTTAAGACGCGCAGCTTAAGTCATGCGCGTGCGTTACGTACTTTATTTATCAACGTGCATATGCGTATATAATAATCAAAAAGTGGTACGTGACAAGCTTGTTTTACGAAAAAAGACAATTTCGATTGCCAATTACGGTCACGCGCGCTATTGCAAGTTTAAAAGCTAAAATTGCCCGGGGTAGGGCTCCACAAATATGATACAACAATAAATGTTTATGGTACCATGCACATGTAATTATTTATTTGTCCATTATTAATTGATTTATGGGTCGTTCACATATTACAAAATACGTTATCATTTATGAATTTATGCTCCAAAAAGTGAAAACGTAATGTATTAATATGTGATCAACCCCTTTAATTAAATTTTTCATGTAATGAAATGGGTAAATATAGCAGCTGCGCAATTTTATTTTTCATAACGAGAAACGACTGACTATTATTTTGTAGGTTTACAACCTACCAGGACGCGCTCAGAGTTGGACTCGTCGACGGTCCTATATACGGTTCCAATATATTGAACAGATTTTTTACGAGTATCACCCGTTAAACTATTATCCTGATGATGATAAGAACAGAGTTTATTTAAACTTGACATACAGAACTTATTGTCCTTGCGTTTCAGCCTAGGGCCTCCAGCGTTCAAGTAATGTCCGTCCAAATAAGGTCCGATAAGGTAACTTCTATTTCTTGGCCAATTTTTTATTTTTTCATGCTGATTTTAAAAAGTTTCAGTTGTACATCTTTTACGGTTAAAGTCGCGTAAATTTTATATTACGGTTTTTGTATCCCAGGGTCAGGGTCAGGGTCAGGGTCAGGGTCAGGGTCAGGGTCAGGGTCAGGGTCAGGGTCAGGGTCAGGGTCAGGGTCAGGGTCAGGGTCAGGGTCAGGGTCAGGGTCAGGGTCAGGGTCAGGGTCAGGGTCAGGGTCAG